CACACGAGGGGGTGGGTGGCCAGCACCACGCCCGGCCGCCTTTGTCTCCCCAGATGTTTTACACACAACGCACCAGGTACTCATTTGAGGCTGAATCGACCTAGATGAGGCACAAAACCGATGCAGATAATTATTGCTGATGTTGGCCTTCAGCGGAAATCAAACTCGGGTGGCTAGGTTCGTAGCGAAGTGTGTTAACCGTTGCACTGCCGATCATTAAACGCTCAGTCGGGCAAACGCAAGTACGCACACAGACTCGCACGCCCACTAGTGTATCAGACAACACTGGCTCGACACGCCGACCTGTCCAAGGCCATTATAGAGTCAATTAGCGATCTTCCTGGTCGATAACCAGCTCACCTGTACGCGGTCGCGAGACGAACCAACACAGCTGGCTGAGTGATGAGCTGGTGATTCAAAAATTTATGTTTGGGTTAGCTCGTATAGTTATGTAATAACAGTGAGAGCTATGCACCCTCCACCACCCAACACAGCCAAACAAATCAAGCTGCCACCCGCACAAAACTTCGCCATTGATATTGTTTCCCGGAAAAAGCGTTGAAGTAAAAAGCAAGCGAAAATGTGACAATTATATACAACGTTTAGCTGGAGATTGCAGTTGTGCCCGGTGATGGTAATGACAGTGGAAGTAAAGTTATTATTATTCTTGGTTCTTTCGGTAAAGTCACGTAGAAGGGAAACAATAAAATAATACAAATATAAAAAAAAATTCTCACGACGTTTCGACGGCAACACAAGCAGTCATCATCAGGTGTGAAAACCACAGCAAGAAAATTAAAAAGTGGCTAACGTTAAAGTGGCTAACGTTAAAAATAACCGCCACTTTTTTCAAATTTTCTTGCTGTGGTTTTAACACATGATGATGATTGCTTGTGTTGCAGTCGAAACGTCGTGATAATTTTATTGTTTTAGATTTTTATTATTTTATTGTTTCCCTCCTACGTGACTTTACCGAAAGAACCGAGAATATGAATCCCTGCAGTCACGAAAGCTTTAAATAACAAAAATAAAGTTCTTATTGTTGGTGTCTACGCACGTGGAAACTGTAGAATAATTCGTCACAGGGGTTCTAGTATACTCAGCCAAATTGATCTGACGGGCAGCAAAACAAAAAATTCAAAAGGAGCTTCAACTGTAACACTATCACACGGCGAAATTGCCATCATTCCAGACGGATGGCTTGATGAGAAGAATGCTCGTCGTAATGGCAGTCGTGCACATGCCGTCTCGTAAAATCGCGAGACGAATATTGCTCCGGGATCTAGCAATCCTCCGTGCAGGCACTCATCAACGCGCGTCCAAATCCATGCTCGGCAGCGTGTTCTTGGGGGGGGGGGCGGGCAGGGCTTTGATGGATGCAGCGTCATTGCTATAAGCGAGCGCAGCTGAAACAGAGAGAGAGAGAGAGACGGCCATCCAGTGACAGCCTCCACGCAATATGCAGAGTAGAAACTGCCAGTGCAGCTGTGCATTTGGTGGCACTTTAGATAAGCTCGTGCAAGGGGAGCAGAAAATGACCAGAGGTGCATTACGTAATTCTTCCGGTATAGAAATATACAAAGGTGCACACATTACACCACGCATGAAACGAATTCCAACCAAAGCAATCCCTGAATAGCATCGGCCAGCCGTTTCCAAAAAAAAAAATACTACACGGTGCATCTTCAATGCCTGCTGTAAACACCAAGTAACAGTGCTTCTTCAAATGCAGGGGAAACATTATACTACTGCTGCTCCTGAGGCATGCAGATGATAATAATGATGATGATTTGAATTACTCAAATTTGGATTACCCATATGTAGTGACATACGACGTCACTACTGTGTCGAGACTGAGCGAGCGTCGGGACATATGACGTCACTACTGTGTTGGCTCGGTATGGGTGTTGTAGGCGGGTGTCACGGAGGTCATGTCAGGCCGTGACACTCTGCGTGAACCCAACAGGACACGTGACCGGACAAAGGGGGACTAGGAGCCCCAGGGGAGAGCTTAGGGGTCACGTGGTTGGGGGCCCGTATCTTCCCGAAGGATCGAGAAGAGGGGCGTGGCCTGGGACGGAGCCAGCCACTCCACGGGATTTTTCAGCGGGGTGCGAACAGAGAGCTGGGCTGTTCAACCCTGGGCTAAAGACGCCATCAGCGGTCCTCGAGTCTCCGATCGTCGTCCGTGACCAGGCAACCCGTCACCTGCCCTGGTCACGCTGTGTAGTACTCCCCGAGTATTAGTGAGATTAGGAACGGTGGTCAGCACCCTGTACATAATGTTCACGTTGGTTGTCATGCGTTAATAGTGTAGCCTCCAAGTTGAGTGTGCGCCTCAATTGAACCCACTACACATGGAAAATGATCGGCCCCTACTGGAGAACTAATGTGCCTGCTCGCAGGTCAGCTGCTGAGTCAGCTGCCTTAAAAAATGTTTGAGATGAGATGTGACGGAAGTTACTTATTGCGAGTAAATCGCTCTGAGATACTCCCACTTCTGGAGCACTGCCCAAACAAAATCATTATCATTTCTATCATCGTCTATGTATGTTGAACTTCTTTCGCACCGTGCATAGCTAACCGCCCTGATCGGAGGTGTGGCGGAAGGACAACAAACGAAACACAAAAATCAGTTTTCAATCTATGGCTCCGATGGCTTCCTAATATATATAAACTATTTTATTTTACCAGGTAAGGCCCACTGACTTACAGTATAATGTGGACATTTATAGCAGCCAAATACCCTCAACGCATGTTTCTAAATGTGGAGGGAGAACCTGGAGGACCTGGAGAAACATCTATGCGACCACAGGGAGAACATGCGAACTCCAAATATATTGACGTCAGGATCAGGATGACACCCACGACCTCCTGTATACCAGGCGAGGGAGTTAACTAAGAGCGTTCCAGACGGCCGCAGAAGCGCATCTGAAAGTGTGCGATGCGGTGACCGTCTTTGTCCGATCGCGAGCCAAAACCCGCTGCTGCGAGGATGACCGGAGTTTGTGTGATGGTTTAAGCTCCTTGACGAGATCAGCGAGGTGTCGTGGTTCACTTGTGGCAAGCACTTTGTGTGTGTAGTGAAGTGCGACCGGAGGGAAATGATCCCCCTGTCTCCCCTTACTCTATCCCACCTGGACATTTGGGGAAGGGGGTTGCAGACAGGCGGAGTTGAACAGGGAAATAGTTTCAGAGCAGTCCTAACCAAATTGAGCCCTGGTACATGCCAGAAATAATTGGAAAATAAGGTTAATTAATCTGTCAGCAGAAGCGGAGTTTCACCGACAATTATCGCTATTCCTACTGCTTTGACCATTTCTGTCGAAAAGCAGTGGGTGAAATGTTTTCTGGTAGCACGTTCGCACACAACCAACACTCACAGCAATTAAATAAATTGGCAATCGTGCTGACAAAAGCACGAAATCACTTCAAATCAACGATGCCACGCAACGCTTGCTGCTAACTACAACGTGGGTTGTGTAATTACGTACTGATTCCTACACATCGCCACACTTCGGCACAATGTGAATTATAGAATCCTAAAACATTTTGGATTTGTGTTTTGATTGTGTTCATGATGCTGAACAACGCAACAAGATAAGCATGATGTGTACAGACAAAACACTTAAAACAGTAAGATTACAATAAAAAAAATCCACTGAAGCATGTACTTATTGAATTAACATACAGTTCGGAAACACTATACAATCGGACATATGAGCAATAACTGTTGTTAACCACGGGTATTTATTTTATGCTCTAATGAAATGTTCAAATGCAAATAAATACCACCGAAGAGGCCACTAGCAACTGCAGTAGCACATTGTGCTGATATCAAACTACGCAGAGATAAAATTGCCATCAGGTTATAAAAGTGTAACAATGTAACACGGTGCTCTGGGATGCACTGCTTAAGGGTGTCTTATAAATGTATAACAATATATAACGTGCAGTATCATGGGGCCTTTTTTCAGGCCACAACGGAGGCTATCTCTGGTGTAGGCCAATCCGTTTCAAAGGCAATGGATACATTAATTATATTGATCAGAGCATATTCGTTTGCATGTTCATCACAAGTATGTGTAGTTAATGCAGGCTTGATTCCTTGCAAAAGGTGTCTATTTGGTGTTTGAACATGTTAACATCTGTTTTATTGGAAGAAAGGGTAAAACCTATTCTTATTTTTCAATATAACGTAATTATTTTTTAGGAACACTTCACCGGGACTCAAGACTTCTTTTCAAGAGAGTCCTGCTTTTAGGATGTTTGGCAAATTCCCTTCACACGGGTACTTTCAAACAAAACGTGCAGTTAAGTGACGACGTCAGCACACCGGCGTGTTGGAGAGCAAATCCACATTTACTATTGTCGGGTGGTGGCGGGTTTAATGACACATTTATATTTACGCGATCTAACCCAAAATAAAACTTTATTATGGATAACATTGGTCGCGAATGCCAACATATTAAAGGGTCCTGCACGGTGACAACGGTTGTTGTACCTTGATAACGGTGCTTCCTTTAGCAGCTTCTAAAGGAAATTAGCCAAGCGTGCCCGCTGCTGTCATTCTCGGCTTAGGTCAATTTGTGACGGTGCCAAAGCATACATGTCTTATTTGAATATCAAAAGTGCCCGCCCATACGATTATGCGAGTCCCCATTACAACAGAATTTAAGTTTCAACGGACTCGCACCTGGTGAATTCAATGATACGGACCTCTCTGGTCGATGCACGTAAGTGAAGCAACAATGCAGGCAAAGCAGCGGAGAACAGGTGAGCACACACACCGTGACAGCGGTATATTATTCGTGCGCTTGTACGGACATAGACGGCGGGGGGGCATATACCGATGATTAAAAATAATACTCATTTACGAACCAAGATGTTCAAATACAATAACATGTTTTTTTTAAATCACTTATCACAGAATATAGCCCATGTGCATTTGCTTCATGGGTTGCAAATGCACGGGCCACATCATGCAGACACCCTTTTACCTTTGAGCTGCATTCTTGTGCTTCCTCCTGCAAATAAACCAGACAAGGTGTCACATATGCACAACAGTTTAACCATTAATACCATACACACGATTTTCTATCTTTTATCAAAAAAGGCCTCACTGAGTCTCAGGACTCAAACTACCAAGGTCTTGTACAATGATGTTTGGCAAATGTATTCTTATTATTTTTTGCATGGGATTAAAGAAAGCGATTATACACACTCGAAGATATCGCACAGATCAGCTGAAGAGCCAACACGCCTTCCTGCTATAGCCTGTCAAATTTGTATAAGTCTAGGGCACATTTTGGTGGAATACGTCACCCCACCTCAATAGTGCTGGAGTACTGTATAGGCATTGCACACACAAAAGACAATGGCTACATTCTGCATGTTTGCATGCAAGCACGTAGCATTGCCGCTCGTCAGTGTGTGTTTGTGTGAGCAAGTGCTCACATGCGAACCCGGGCAAGCGTGCGTATGCGTGCATGTGCCCCAACAGTTAGGCTATATGGTGGATCTTTGTGCAGCCATTGGCACGCCGCACTACAAACCCGGCGACCTGGGTTCGATTCTCGCTCATGGCCACTAACACCAGTGACGATTATCTGAACCAGTCCTGGGCCTCCCCTTGGTCGACTCAGTCTCGAATGAGTACCTGGGGCAGTGTGTAAACATCGCTATTCGGGAGATAAAGGCAGCCGGGCATTGTGTTTGGCCACCCACCTCCTCGTGTGCCGTGCTGGCCTTCACAGGTGCTCGTTAACAGCACTTGCCCCATCAGTCTGTTAAGGCTATACGGGGTCACTTTGTCGGTGGTGTACGTGTGTGTATGTTTGTGCGAATGTGTGCGTGGGTGGTGTGTATATGTATGGCGAGGGCGCAGTGTGTGATGATGTGTGATGTGTGTTTTGTATGTGAGTGGGTATGCATTTGTAATGTGTCTGTGTGTTGTGTGCATATTACTATGGATGTGTGTAATATACATATGTGGTGCGTGTGTAATGTGGGTTGTGTGTGTCGTGGAGAGCGGTGATGTTAGCGCACTACACTGCGTATCCGTATTCTTTGGTTCTTTCGGTAAAGTCACGTAGATAGAAAAATAATAATAAACAATAAAGTTAATAAAAATTAAATTAAAATAATAAAAACCAAAAACCACTAATGTAGACTGTAGCCTGGTTCTTAATCGGAGTGAGTGTACTGGCAATCTATAATGTGGACTGTAGCCTGGTTATTAAGTTTGGTGAGTACTGGCAGTCTATAATGTAGACTGTAGCAATGGTTATTGAACTGAGTGTTCTTAACTTGAGTGAGCGCACTGGGAGTCTATAATGTCGACTTATTCTGGTTCTTTCAGTAAATACAAAAAAGAATAACAACAAAAAACTACGACGTTTCGATCGCAACACAAGCGGCCGTCATCAGGAAAAGGGGGGTTAGCCTCTAAAGGCAAACTGTTTTTAAAGGTTTAGAGATGGGCGTCGCCTAAGTGTGTAAGCAGCATGGGCGGGGCAGCTTATGTTAATGTAGCCCAAGTGTGTAAGCAGCATGGGCGGGACAGCTTATGTTAATGTAGCCCAAGTGTGTAAGCAGCATGGGCAGGGCAGCTAATGTTAATGTAGGGGAAAACCCCGACACCGGCAGTAGGTCTACACCAATCAAAGGGCCGCCAGGAAATCAATTGCGGCTCGCTCCACACACCCAAACTGCCGACGGTGGAGGTTGACAAGAAAACACAAATCAAGTCATGACCCCAAAGTGGTTGATGACACATTTCCAATGATTGCTGAGCTTATCACCATCCTCTCGGTTGAAATTGCGTCTGTATATATGGATGACTTCATGAACAAATCTTTGTTGATAGCCAGTAGGCTTGCAAAGTACCATCGTCTTAGAGAAATACATTTTGTGTGAGCCAGCCGCATTAAAATAATGATCAGCCATGGCAGAATTATTGGTCCTACCGTGTTTCAAATCTGCCTCATGTTCACGAACACGGTTCGTGTTCTGTTCCCGACCATGACTAACACAGTGACAAGTGCTGTCTGAACCTGTACTGGACTTCCCTTACGTCAACTCAGCATTCAAATTGCACATGGTATGGTGTGCAATCATCAGTACCAGGGAGACAAAGACGGCCCGGTGTAGTGCTTCTTACATACCCTCTCGTGCACCATGCCGGCCCCTTTTGGTGCTCGCTAACAGCTTTTATCCTAAGTCTATAAAGCTGTATGGGGGATTACTCTTTGGTCCTTTCGGTAAAGTCACGTAGAAAGAGAAAATAATAAATTAAATAATAGCGTACGACGTTTTGATTGCAACAGAAGCAATCATCATCAGGCACAAATGAATGAGAAAACAAATCTAGTAAACTTAGAAATTTAATGCAATACAACACAGAGAGTCGGATAACATAACAGTCAACACCCTACCTGGTTTGATTGCGTTCTTCCAGAGATTGCTACATTTGAGAGAGAGACAAAACACACTTAATTTATTTACACTGAGCTACGTATGCGGGGGCAGCATAGGGCAGTGTTGCAATTTCCATTGTTGTACAGTATTTATATGCTCCCCGACTTCACAACCCGCACTGGCCAACGTGAAGTTGGACCAAATAACCTCCGTGGACCTTCATGGCATGGGGAGGCCCTCATCCAGCAGTGGATTGGCAAACGTGTGTACTGTACACGTACGTTATTACATCATTACTGCAAGACGCATTAGTCTCCGTCGACTGGCAATAACCAAAAATGCACCACCCCGTGATGTCACCTTGCTTCGTTAACATCACGGAGTCTGTGGGTCTTCATGTGCAGCGAGGTGCACATGTACACATACACACGGTGAATATCTTACCGTTCCGCTTAAGTTTCATATTCGACTGCGAAAACTTAGGTCTGTTGATTCTGGTCTGTTCATTATTCCAGAGAGCAGACTTTGTTCTCTGGGAGACAGAGGATATTGCGGCCAGGCTCCGCGGTTGTGGAATTCCCTTTCTCCTTGGTCCACCAGGGAATCTGAATCTGTTACACTTTTTAAATCGCGTCTTAAAACAGGCTTTCTCCATAACGTAAGCTTTACTGAAAAGTGCTTCAGAGGCTATGCGTGAATTTGCGCTGTATAAAACTGAGTTTATTTTTCGTATTACTACTCCATGTGAACACACAGACACTCCACGGTGGCCCCAACGCCGCCTGTTTAACACCACGGTGGCTGTGAAAAATCTCGGTGTCTTTCTGACCCTCACCTCCCCATTAAAACGCGATAGAGGGTAATTACATCAGCGTGGCCTTCCTACGCATGCACTGTCGCCAGTTTTGACAAACGAATGAGTAATTGGGCAGAGGAGGAATGGCTGTGGTGTGGCTGAAAACGTACACATACTAAGCATAAATTGCATTGTTTTGAGTTTTGGATCCCCGCTGCACACGAATAACATTGGATGTCAACCTGCATTTTAAAAAAATATGCATTCCCCTTTTATTAAATTAAATATTTGATTTGTCGCTATGTAATTTCATGAATGTAACAGCTGTTCGCTGTACCCTGTTTCAACATGAAAATGTACCTCCCTGGAAATCAAGTTGTATTGATTTAAATATAACTTGATTAAAACGACTAACAATAAATTAGCGCTTACAGTAAATGTGTCGTGACATAGAATTAGCGATGTAGCAGCATAGCGCTGGCTGTTGGCGGGGAAGGGGATCTGCAGCTTACAGCAGCCCTGACGTCAGCAGGCCACGTGATACACCAGAGGGGATATCTGGGGGAAAGGTTACAGAAGGGGCACGTGGGGGAAGCCCCGGGAACCCGCTAATAGCTTACAGGGAGGGGGCGTGGCCGGGGCAGAGCGAGGCCACGCTGGGAGCATAAAAGGGGGTCCTGAGCGAGAGCTCGGGGCTGTCGTATGGAGTGGGATCCCGCACTGTGCTGTTGAAGATCGTCGCCATCATCGGTGTCGTCTTCACTCGATATTGCGCTGCTAGACGGTAGTTGGCTGTCTCGGTACAGCGCCGTCAGTGTTAGACGACTAGTGTTGTGTGTAGGCGAGCAACAGTAATAGTGTGTACCCACGTAGTGTTGTGTATAGGCTAGCAACAGTAATAGTGTGTACCCACGTGGTGTTGTGTATAGGCTAGCAACAGTAATAGTGTGTACCCACGTAGTGTTGTGTATCGGCTAGCAACAGTGATAGTGTGTACCCACGTAGTGTTGTGTATAGGCCAGCAACAGTAATAGTGTGTACCCACGTGGTGTTGTGTATAGGCTAGCAACAGTAATAGTGTGTACCCACGTAGTGTTGTGTATCGGCTAGCAACAGTGATAGTGTGTACCCACGTAGTGTTGTGTATAGGCTAGCAACAGTAATAGTGTGTACCCACGTAGTGTTGTGTATCGGCTAGCAACAGTGATAGTGTGTACCCACGTAGTGTTGTGTGTAGGCTAGCAACAGTAATAGTGTGTACCCACGTAGTGTTGTGTGTAGGCTAGCAACCCATGTAGCGTTGTGTATAAGCGAGCGATAGAAGAATGTGTACCAACGTCCTCGGTTACATAAAAGAAGTGCCTCCAAGTCTTAGCGTCTCCGAGCTAAGTCACTACAAATGTAAATTGTTTCATATTATTTTGCTTAATATTTGTGCAGATATAACGTGTAAGATGTTGTCATCAATTGTTTAAATGTTTACTTGCTTTGTGAATCAGGTCTCCCATGAAAAAAGAGACTTTTTGACTTAAAGGGCTCTCATCTGGTTTAAATTAATGATACCCATTAGGGTGTGTAATTATTAATCGATTAGTATTGATTCATTATCAAGGCGAGGGTAAGATCAATGTTTTCAATGCCTGCTCATGTTATGTTAATTATATGGTGAGATGCTATTTCCCACTTGGTACATAGCAGGATGTGGGTTCGATCCCGGACCCTGACGATCCCGCTTGTATATTTGGAGTCCGTTTGTTATCTCTCTCTGTGGTGGCCGCATGGATTTTTTCTCCGAGTTCATCTGGTTTTGGC